GCTCTCCACCACCCCACCAAAACCACAACGTGAATTTGCAACAGGGGAGGAAAAAAGAACCAAAACTTTCAAGGCCCTGCTTTTTTTCTTAAAAGTACTTTAAAAAGGAAAATTTGTTTGTATTTTTTATTTACATTTTATATTTTTGTACATATTGTTAGGGGTCAGCCATTTTTAATGATCTCGGGATGACCAAACCAGCCTTTGGAGCGTTCTCTGTCCTACTTCTGACTTTACTTGTGGTGTGACCATGTTCATTATATCAAAGGAGAAAGAAAACCTTGTAAAAAAAGCAAAAACAACAACAAAAAAACAATCTTATTCCGAGCATTCCAGTAACTTTTTTTGTGTATGTACTTAGCTGTACTATAAGTAGTTGGTTTGTATGAGATGGTTAAAAAGGCCAAAGATAAAAGGTTTCTTTTTTTTCCTTTTTTTGTCTATGAAGTTGCTGTTTATTTTTTTGGCCTGTTTGATGTATGTGTGAAACAATGTTGTCCAACAATAAACCGGAATTTTATTTTGCTGAGTTGTTCTAACAAAGCTGTCTCAAGCCTGGTTTTTCTGTTTGGGTTTCTTAAACCTGGGGAGGGGGCAAAAGAGATAGGGGGTCTTGAACTCTGGCCCAGCTGTTTTTCCTCAGTAGGGACAGTGAGTTGAAGACACCAGTTTGGGAAGGGGTGGGTGTGGTGTGCCTTTGGGTCAGCAGAGTCTGGTAAGGGGCACTTACCAGGTTGGTCTACTGATTGTACTAAGAACCTTTCCTTGGGGCCATGTCATTGGATGGCAAGCAGACCTGGGTGCCCTGGAAGGTGTCCACAGCCCCAGGCACTCCAAAAGGAATGGGCCACATGGGCGGCTGCCACTGTGGATACAGCCTTCCAGTGGGAAAACGAGCTTTCCCTGCACAGGCTTCCCTGGATTAGCTGGGTTGCGGAGTGGCTCCCCCTGGTGGTGATATGTGTCACTTTGTCCCTTAGGACTCACTTTTCCAGGGCACTGATGCAGCCTTGCCCTCATTCTCAGAGCTCGAGTCATGATGAAACAAGTGTCTTGGTTAGTCTGGCAGGCCACCCTGCCCCTTGAGCACAGTAGATGATAGGTGATGGACCATTTTGACTTTTAAGACAGGTTGTGAGCAGTCAGTTGGGAAAGCTAACTGGAAGAAGTGTGACCTCAAGTTTGATCCTTTGGGGAAGAGATGACAACTCACTAAGGAACTTCTGGGGGCTGTTTCCTAACCTGGGGTCCACAGATGAGCTTTATGTAGGGCAGAAGCCCCCTGCAAGCACCCATAGTGTGCCCTTGAAATGGGTCGCGCCCATTTTCTAGGGGGTCAGTGTGTTGACAACCCAGCTGTAGAGTTTTTGGCAGTAGGCTGACTTTAAGGTGGAGAAGCTGCAGGACCCATTGGGAGAGGAGAGATCTATTTGCCACTGAACAAAAAGACGTGGGTCCTACCAATTCTTGTCACCAGCTGGGTGGTCCTGGGCATTCTTTGTCTCCTGAATATGTCTGGTGTCATGGGGTCCAAGTGATACGGGTGGGAAGAAAGTGGGGGTCAATGGGGGGCAGAAAGCCCCCCTCAGGAGGGACACTCTTTAGCTTGGAGTTCTGAGTTTGTCCCAAACGGAGGGCAAAGGAAAGTGGTGGGGATCAATGAGCCATGCACCCTCCCTACTTACCATGGCATGCCAACTCTGGTTTTGTGGGGGTTCCTTGCCTCACCTTGGAGCTGACTGGGGTGGGGGGCACTGCTTTATCACAAGGAAGGGGCTCTGGGACCCCAGCCCCTCTCCATCGGGGGGAGACATTGATATTTCATCCACACCCCCACCATTTGCATTAAGGAGTCATTTGTCTTAAAGATGCCTATGGGTGGGAGGTGGGAGGCAAATGTTAACCAACACGTATATTACAGCTCCTTAAGGACGATCTGCTACCCTGGGCCACAGACAGGAATCTTAGAGCAGGCAGGGCTTCCCTGGGGAGGCAGCATTGAGGCTGAGACCAGAAGGGCCAGGAGGGTGAAAAAGGGGATCATGGGGGTTGGGAGGAGGGGCAGTACGTCGGCAGGCCTGATGTAGGAGGGTGCGGAGGGCTCCAAAGGTGCATGGGCAAAGGGGGTGGACAGGGACAGGCACAGTCTGTGGGCCAGGTAGGGGAAGCATGGAGTGGTTTTTAGCAGGAAAACTGCCTGGAAAGCACTGAATTGACATCTGCCGAAGCCCTGGGGCCTGGGTTAAGGGGAGATGCTGGGAGGGAGAGCAGCAGGCACATTTAAGCCATCACATAGAGAAAAGCATCAAGACTCAGGGATGGATTGGATGTTGGAGGCCGTTCCCAGGATCCCCCAGGCTGAGGCCTGAGTCCTTGAACACAGGAAGGAGCCATTTTCCGCAGGGAAAGGGGCTGGAGATGAAGGTTTAGAGCTGCATGGTGGCCTCACTGCGTTTGAGGTGAACTGTCAGAGGCTGTTGGGTGCACAGATCTGGAGGGCAGGACAGAGGCCTGGGCTAGGCCAGAGTAACCCAGGCTGAGGTGTGGACAAGGCAAGCCAGAGCAAGGGCATCCCAAGAAGAGGCAAGGCTCAAGTCACACCAGGGAGCATACCAAGCGGGGCACTGTCCCTCCTAGTAAGTGAGAGCTCTTGAGCTCAGGGCCTCCTCTCCCTCTGCCTTCCCTGGGCCTCGCCTCCCTTCCTCCCCAGGCTCCTCGTGTCCACGGCAAGCCTGGTCCTCCCTCAGGGCCTCTGCACTTGCTGTCCCAGACTTCTCACAACTCGTTCCATGTTAGGTCTCAGCGCCAGAGAGGCCTCCCCCGGTCCCCAATCTAAAGAAGGCTCTCCCCAGTTCTCCCTCAGTTGCATAACCGTTCTCATAATGTGAGCTTATATATTTACCTGTGTTTTTTGGCTGTGTTTTTTACCTGTGTTTTTCCTTCACTGAGGTCAGGGCCACTTCTTATTTACCGTTTCCCTGAACATGGTAAATATTCTGTTCATTCCATTCATTTGTTCCTTCATTCCCTGGTTCACATGTGTACCAAATGCTTTTTCTGTGTCAGATGCCTTAATAGGCTTCAGAGATAAAACAGAGGAGAGCAAGAGAGATAAGACCCCTCATCCTGACAAGGCAGGACACCTGGTGGCGGGACATCATGAGTGACCCGTTCTACACCTGTCTACCACATTCTGGGAGGGCCTCGCCCTTCACAGGGGCCAGAACTTAGCTGTCCTCAGTGAGCCACTCAGGCCCCAGGACTCCCGACTCCCGTTGGGCTGTCCCCAAACTGCTGCCAGGGTCAGGGTCAGATCGAGGCTTCGGTAGGAGGGACTCAGACGCTCTGCACCCTACACGCTTGCACAGGTGGGGCCGCTGGCTTCTCTAGGCAAGACTGGCTGGCTGCTCTCTGCCTTGCTGCAGTCTTACAGGTATTCTCAAGGCCTGGAGCCCCGGGGGTGTCTCTAAGGCAGGAGAAGGGGGCCAGGAAGACCACATAGCAGGCAATGCATGGAGCTAGGATCAGGTCTAACCCTCAGGCTGTGGTCCTGCTCAGAACGACTACCCCCAAATCCCCACAGAAGAGGTGAGAAGTAGCCCCATCCAGACACACACATGGCAGTTAATATGGGGCAAGTAACAACCTTGCTGAGCCTGTCTCCTCTGCACAATAAAAATAGTAGCATGAGGCATGAGCCAGGCTCCGGAGCTGCCTCTCTGGGGGTCCCACATCTGCACTGAGCTCCCTACACTCTGTCAGCTGCACCCTATTGCCCCACCAAAAGTTTGATTTGGAACAGCCCTTGCTGCCTTCAGCAGAACCTACTTTCCTCTAGTCCTCAGGCTGGCACATGATTAACCACTGCCTGAGGGTCTGTGCTCAGGGTCCGGGGTCACTTTGATTCTACCTACTCCCAAAGTCCCCTCAAAGTGCGATGACAGGGCCGCCCAAGGAGCCCAAATTGGAAGATTCGCGAGGGATGGGCGCCCTCTGGTGGCCACAGAGGAACTGCAGAAGGCTCCCAGGGGTTCTGCTCAGTCCAGGAAAGAACCCCACTTCAGGGGGCCCCTACCCCAGTGGCAGTCTCAGCCACCCCTACGCCCCACAACGAGATCTTCCATCTCTGTTGCTGGAACCTCAGTCAGACATGCCAGTCAATCAGTGGTCATTTTCCAAGCCTTCCCTCTGCCGATGGCCCATCCCAAGGACCTGGTCCTTCTTTTCATGGGAGACAAACCCCAGGCCTCCCCAGAGCTGAGGTCAGGGTCAGCTCCTCCAAGGTCACCGGGCATCTCTGGATCTGGCTCCCTGGGCTCCCTCTTGCTTAGCTACGTTCAAATGCTTGTTGTGCACAGCGCCCTGCTAGGACAGGCCCACCTCGGTCATCCCTGGGCCCTCTTGTGGGACTACTCTCTGTGGCTGCTGCCCTGAGCATCGCCCCCAGGCCCCTAGACTGCTTAGAGTTGGGGGCCAGGGGCACCCAGCTGCACTCCTTGGCACACTCTGAGTTGCCTGTCAGGCCACCCCAGGCCTAAGAGCCAGGATCTGGTGCCGCCTACCTTCTGCTGTCAGCGGGGGCACAGGGGTCCTCCCAGACCCCATTCTCTCCAGTTCCTCCAGGGCCCCGATGCCTAGCTTGCTTCTGCCAGGCCTCCTGTGTCCTCTATGCAGGCCGGCCCTATTTGCCTCAGGCCCCTGGCTATTCCATGATCCCCTCCTGGTGGAAGTTGCTTCATGGAGATAGAAACCCTAATCCCAGCTTTGCGGTGTG